TCTGCCTCTGTGTGGCAAGTATCTCAACAGAGACATTTTGTTTCGTATTCATTGTTATGGTGGGAGCTTTGTTTCTCATTGTGGCTTCTGTGAATCATGGAGAAGGCTCTGACAGCTACACCTAGTGCGCTAGTGCCATCAAGAAACTAGACACTGTTGTTTGAGCTATCAATGGCGAGTGGGGATTGTCACTGGAGAGTGAGTTGTTGCCTCATCTGGCTGCTGTCCTTGGACTTGCAGGGACACTTTGAACTAATTCACAATACCTGCTTCTCTACAGAGGTATTGTCCTATTCCGTCCTCCACGCCTGACCAACAAGTTTGAGGAGAGCTCTATCAAATATCCAGAAGAGAAAATCACCAGTGGAAAGATCAAGAAATTCATCCAGGAGAACATGTGAGTGATTCCTCTCCAACAAATGTGACAGAACTGGCCCCAGTTGGCTTTGACCCTGTCAGAGCTTGTTTTTTCATTGCTGCCACTTCTGCTGCATGTCTCAGCACTGCTTCCCTTTGGGGGCACCTTCTTGAAATCCTGACATGGCTGTTGGCATGCACTCTCCATAGTCTAACCATGATTCTGTTTAAAAACTGAACCTGTGAGAGCTGTGCTAGCTTTGGCCTTAACTGGGTCAGCTCTAGCCACTGATATGGCAGGAGATGTAGCTTTGACTCAGAAAAACCTGAGCAGGAATGAGCAAAGCATTTTTTCCTGAGGCCTGATTGATCACTGGCATTTAATTCCTGGGTGGGAAGCAAGTGTGCTGTGTCAAGCCTGTTCTGGTGTCATGGACTCTGCTAATACCTCTCTCGTTGACAGCTTTGGCATCTGCCCTCACATGACTGAAGACAACAAAGACTTGATCCAGGGCAAGGACTTGCTGGTGGCATACTACGACGTTGACTATGAGAAGAATACCAAGGGATCCAACTACTGGCGCAACAGGTAGGAGTGGTGGGGGTAAATCAGCCTCACACTGTTCCTGCTTTGCTGCAGTTCCATAGCTTGGGTGACAATCCTCTGAAATTTTGTGTGATTGCTCTTGGATCCCAGGTCCTTGGGAACCTAGACCTTACCCACAAACTACCCAGCTGCTGTGGTGTGCAATTCTGCCCTTCGTGCCTGGTGGGTGGAGGATGCAAACGCAGCACTTGCCTCAGTCACCACAGACACTGGTCTGCTTCTCAGCACCATTTCTACAGGACTTGGCTCTGAAGAGCGCATTGTACCACTGAATTCCTAGTCCAATATGTATGTCATCTTCAAGGGTGTTACATCATATAGAAGAAAATGTTCAAAGAAATAACGCTTTATGGTTTTGTTTATTTTTTCCCCTCAGAGTTATGATGATTGCAAAGAAGTTCTTGGATGCTGGCCACAAACTGTCTTATGCTGTTGCTAGTCGAAAAACCTTTGGCCACGAGCTTTCTGAGTTTGGTCTGGACAGCAGTGTGGGTGAGGCCCCCGTCGTTGCCATCAGAACTGCCAAAGGAGATAAATACGTCATGCAAGAAGAGTTCTCGTGAGTTCTTGAACTTGACGGTAATGGGTCTTGTTTGATGGACTTTGGTCTAGAGGTCTCTGACCAGATGATACTTTGTTAGCTTCAAGGAAACAGGAAATCTGGCTGTTGCAGCTGGAAGAAGCAATTGCTGGGTCAAAATGACTCCTGCTCATGTGTTTTCCTGTTCTCTAGAAAGCTTGCAGCCCCTCCTGTTATACAAAGAGAGAGAATTTAATTCAAGATCCTGAAATTCTGATTAGGAATTAGGGTGCAATGAAGGGCAGAAGAATTCATTGTACCTTTCATTTTGAAAAAAAACCTTAAAAATGCTGGAAGGCCTAAAACTTTGAATGGGATGTTCATCCAGCCTCCTGTCAGAGCCCTTAAGGACATTGCTGCACTTCTTCTGGAGGTCTACTAAGCCAGCCTCAGACTGGTGCTGTCAGAGATGCAGGTGGCATCTGTTGTGTGGGTGGAAGTAGCTTAAATAAGCCTTGAAAGTTTCCCCCTCTCATCCTGTGTGTGTGATGGTGGCTGTAACATCACTTTTCTTTCAGCCGTGACGGAAAGGCTCTGGAGAGATTCCTGCAAGATTACTTTGATGGAAACTTGAAAAAATACCTGAAATCAGAGCCCGTCCCTGAAAGCAACGATGGCCCTGTAAAGGTGAGTGCTGCTTATGGCTGCAGAAACACTGCTCAGCAGCAGCTTCCTGTGTCTGTGTGAAGTGCTGGGAGCGAGGCATGGTGGTAGCTCAGGAGGCCTCTGTGCTGATAGACAGAGGAATTACTCACTCCCTTATTCCACTGTAGCTTTCTGAGGTGATGGAGACATGCAGCTTGCAGTTTGGGTTCTGTTTTGTTTTTTTTTTCCTCTTAGCATACTAACTGCTGCTTGGCCCCCGCAGTTATGTGCTTTGTGAGTGCAGCAGCATCCAGATTTCCAGGCCTTATACAAAGGCCTGTCCTCTTGGTTTGTGCTCAGTCCTTCATGGCATGGTCTTCCTGTTGGTTGTGACTGCACTGTTTTAGGGATCTCCCTGTTTATCACCCTGTTCATCATTGAGGTCTGGTAGAATTCCTGCCTTTCACCCTCCCAGGCAATTCTACCCTGAGTAAGAGCATTCCATGGCCTAGCTTTTTGATGAGAGCCTTACACAGGAGTGCAAGTCATGGGATTCACAGATGTTTTTGGGGCAGAGGGGATAGCCTCAGCCAATCCTGCTGATTGCTTGCTGGGATTAAAAAGAAATGGCTTTATCTTCCTGCGAGGATGCCGTATGCAGACCTCACTTGGAGGTCATGCTGGTAACTTATGGCAGGTTTTTACCTGCATAGTGCAGATGAGGAGTGCTGTGTTTGGTTCTGCTGCTTGCTGTGCAGGTGTGGGAGACCCAGACTTGGGTGGAGGGTGGAGTGTGGAGCATGTCACGTCATCGCCTCATCTCTGTCTTCGAAGGAACTAATTGGTGTGATCAACCCTTACAGGTGGTGGTGGCTGAGAACTTTGATGAAATTGTTAATGCACAAGACAAAGATGTCCTGATAGAGTTCTATGCACCATGGTGTGGCCACTGCAAGAATCTGGAGCCCAAATACAAGGAATTGGGGGAGAAGGTAAGTATGAGATTCTTGCAAATGTGAACTAGAATTTTGCAGCACTAAATGATCCTGCAGGTTTTTTCTAGCCTCTGTGACAATGGGGCATAATTGTGCCTTCCTGAGGACTACAAATTTTGGTCTCTTTGTGGAGCGCAGATATCTTGCAGCAGGATCTGTGGTAGCAACCACACTGGTATATTTAGTCTGTGTTACTGGCTAGGGCACAGGAATATTCCCAGATTCAGTGACTGGCCTCAACTGCCTAAGTTTCTTTTTGGGTCTTTTCCTTCTGCATGGTGATAATCTCACATGTAGTGGGGGTTGGTGAAGTGGCATTCCCTATGCACGGTCCTCTGACAGCACTGTCCCAGATCATGCTGACTGCTGGGTTCCTGGATTTTGGAAATGGTTACCAATGGGTTCTTTCTGCCCACAGCTCAGCAAAGATCCCAATATCGTAATTGCCAAAATGGACGCTACAGCCAATGATGTGCCTTCTCCCTATGAAGTCCGAGGGTAGGTCTGACTGCTGTGACACTGCATGTCAGTGCATGAGTCCCGCTCTGTCTGACTTGGGGCACCGCACTGAAGGGCTGAAGGAGCCTCATGGGGAAGGGTGTGGGAGTTGCCAGGCATTAGCTAGGTGACTGCTGGACAATGGCTTGATGTGGAGAAAACAAAATACACTAATCTGCCTGGCTTCTCCAGGATTTTAAGGTGTCCTGGGTCTGCCTGGAGGTCTGTCCCGATGCTTTGGAATCTGCTGAGATTCTGTTCCTGGCAGTCTGAAAACAAATCTGGGCTTGCTGTTCCAAAAGCAGTTCAGCTAGCAAACTTGAACCTGTGAGCTCAGCTGGGCTCTTGAAGACCACACCTGGTGCCTCAGAGCCACTGAAGCTGTGCCATGTTAAACCAGGGCAGTGTGGGGTATGAGTCCCTTCAGTTGGGGCTGGTCTGGTAGATATCAGAGCATCTCAGGAGCTCATGTGTTTCTTCTCTCTCCAGTTTCCCCACCATCTATTTTGCTCCAGCTGGCAAGAAGCAGAGTCCAAAGAAGTATGAGGTGAATATTTTGCTGTTCTTGATGCTTTGTAAAGAAGTGAAGAGCATCCAGGTGTTCTAATTATACTCAAGCCTCTTTGGAGCTGGGGGTGGCACTGTGTCATGTTACCCTGGGAACACACCTGGTGGTACCTGCTGGGAGCATTGTACTTTGTGTTGCAGGCCCTGGGGGGAACTCTGCTTGCAGTCACCTGGGTCTCCTGCCAGGCACCTGACCCCCCTTCAGAAGAGGGGATGTCCATGGTGGATACAGCTCCTGCCTGACTGTCACTTGCTTTCTGCAGGGGGGCAGAGAAGTGAGTGACTTCATCAGCTACCTGAAGCGGGAGGCAACCAACACTCCTGTGCTGCAGGAGGAAGAGAAATCCAAGAAATCCAAGAAGAAGGTGAAGGAGGATTTGTAAAGTACCTGCTTGCTGCCTTGTCAGGAGGAGCTCTATATGAATCGGGGAAGCACTGGTCAGATTGGGGCCAGTTCTGGGCTGTGGAGAGCCAGTGGCCATGTGGGCCAAGGAGCCCCAGCTGCTGTATCTAGTAATGTTTAATTTCCTGCCGTCTCTTAGCTGCACTGTTGTGGGGCTCCCCAGGTTTGTTTTGTGGTTTGGGAGGGGTGGGGGTACAGTTATTTTCTAATTTTTTTTGTACATTTGGAGAAGTGAAAAAATAAAACGACCCCCTTAAGACCAAATGTCCCTGTCCTGGGGCAATCCATCAGACCTAGCAATGGGATCCTGTTCTCCATAGGCAGCAGCTTCCTGCTGCAAGTTGTTCCCTACAGTGAGCCCTCCTAGCCACTGCATTTAGCTTTCAGCCCATTATCCTCTTTCTTTAGCTGCCCAAGACCCTCCAGAATGTAGCAGCAACAGTTCTCCCAATGTGTTGGGCTTTGGGTGCTGCATTTACACACATTTTGGACTGGGGAATTGTGGTCACAAATGCCTTTGCTGTGTGCTGCCCTAGCGAGTTCAGAGGTACATGGTGCTCACTGTGACTGTTGGATTGCAGCAGTGCAGGCATATGGAGCAAGCTGGCAAGGGCCTTGCTCATCAGAGGCAGTAAATCAGCTTTGAAGCTGGTGCAGGAGTAGTCGGGTATAAGAGGAGTGTTACTATCTACAGCCTCTACCCAAACACAGGTAGGCCAAGGCCAAGGGTGTTTGTTACAGTCTAGTGCTTGGCTGTGGTGAGGGCAAATACAACCAGTTAACTATTCCTTCTCATGCTGAGAAACAGGCTGGTAGCTGTGGGTCTCTCTTCAGGAGGATAGGAGTAGACCATGTGGTGTGGGCTGTGACTGACCATCTGAGGGTGTTCTGCTTTCCTGTGGGAAGGGCAGGAAAGAGATGGGTGGACCACGTAGGAGCTGTTGCCCTGATTCTCTGTTCCTTGACTACATGCAAGTTGAAGTCAGGGTCAGCACACTCAAAGTATTGCTTCATGGCAGCAGTTAATATGGCAAGAGCCAGAGCTTGCTTTGTCTGTGGCTTCCTCCCCCACAACTCAAAGCCCAGGTACCTTATGTTTTGCTGCTGGAGTTCTCCAAATACAGTAGCTCATGAAAGGCTTAGGCTGTACTTCTTTTACTACAGTAACTGCAGTACGATTTCTTTTGCAGCTCCATTAGCATCTCACACCACATTTCCCTTCTGTGCTCTGCTGCTGTGGCAGCTGCTCTGCCCCTAATGCATGCGGGTGTCTAGGCACCTTTGGAGGAGCATGTGATGTCCAGTGGTCCCTGCACAGACTGGCAGGAGCCCTGCACCTGTCTGTCTGGAGCAGTGCTGCAAGGAAAAGGAACACAGCAAGCTCCCCTGACAGCTGACCATTACCCATGTTACACCAGACTGGAGTGCTGCTTCCTTGCTGAGCAGGACAGTGCTCTCCATCAAGCCAAGGAGAGCTAGGGACGTGGTTCTAATCCTGGCTTTGCTCCCTGCTCTGTGACTGTTGACCTGGTGGCAGCTGGGGCACTGAACACAGGTAAAACTCTTCAGCATGTTTGGCCCAGAGCATCACTGCTGGTGCTCAGAGCAGCCTGGGTGAAGTTAGCACAGGCCTAGGGAAACTTTCTGGTAGGAGGGACAGAGGATGAGGAAAGGGTTGTGGTGGTGGCTGCCCAGATGTCCCTCACTGTGCTGCAACTGCACTGAAGGAATAAGGTTCAATTGAGGAGAAACAGGCATCTGATGAAGGATTTGTATATTTGCTGCCTGGAATACCTGGCAAACAGGATGGCTACAGACCGTGCTTTCAGTGAGACTTGCGTGGAGAGCTGGTCCTGGGTAAGGGGGAAGCCACCACCTAAAGTAACACATTCCCCCTGAGTTGGCTCAGGCCTTAGCAAATGATCGGGTCTTTGTTTCTGGCTCTCCCCATGCAGCCATGGCCCTCCAGGGAGCAGGGAATGACCTGGCCCCAGGTGTTTCAGAGCTGGAGCAGTTGGCACTGCTTCAAAGACAGGTCTGGACGAGCAAGGAAAATACTGCACCAACAGTTTGCTTGGGAGGTCTCGCTTCTTGCAGAATCGGGCTTTTGCTATGAGACAGCTTTGGATGGAGACATTCACAGTGATTCTTCGCTGGTAGCTGGGGTAAGCCAGAGACCCGGCCCACAGCCTCGGTACCGGAGACGCCTGGCCGCGGCATCGCCTGGAACGCGCGACGGCGGCGGGCGGGCGGTCCCGAGGGGCAGCAGCGGGCGGGGCGGGCGGCGGGAGCCCCGTGGCGGGGCTCGCCCTGGCCAGCTATTTTTGCCGCCGACCCGGACTAATCCCCTGAGCCGCTTCTCGGCATTAGGTAACGGCGCGGCGGCATGCGCTCCGCGGTGTCCCCGGCCCGGGCAACCCCCGGCAGTCGCGGCGCGGCGGGACGGGCGGCGACACGCCCGGTGCGGGCTGGGGGCCGTGGGCACCCGCCGCCGAGCCCCGGGTGGGCCCGGACCGAGGCCAGCAGGTAGCGGCGGGTGGCGAGGAGGGCCGGGGGCGGACATGCCGGGCCCGTCGCCCGGCGGCTCCCCGGAGAGGGAAACAGGGGCCGGCGGGCGGCCGCGGGGGCCCGGCCGGGACCGGCGGGTGCGGTTCCGGCTGCCTCACACCGCCATCGCGGTGCCGTCGGTGCGCGAGGAGGAGCAGCTCTTCTACCGGCGGCTGGAGGCGCTGGCAGTGCCGGGGCCCGGCGGCTTCGGGCCGCTCTTCGCTTCCGACGGTTGGAGCGACTTGACGGGTGAGTGCCGACGGGCCTCAGGGCCAGCCCAGGCTGGGACGGCCGGGACCAGGTAGAGTGGAGCAAGGAATGCCAATTTCGGGACTCCCGGCTTGGCTCTCAGCGCCTCCTCCCTCGCAGAGGACCGGCTGCTGCGGAAACGCATGGTGCGGGCCGGGCTGGGCGGGCCGCGGCCGCTGCCGGGCCAGGAGGTGTCCGTGAAGGTGCTGGGCGCCCTGGAGGACGGCGGGCTGGTGGAGCGGGACCCGCGGCTCATCTTCGTGCCGGGTCACGGGGACGTCGTGCAGGTGAGCCCGAACCGGTGCGCGGTTCATTGCCGTGCGAGCTCACCGCCGCCGTGGGCCCCGACCCGCCAGCCCCGCCGTGCCCGTCCACAGGCTCTGGAGCTGGGCGTCCCCACCATGCAGCCCGGGGAGGTTTCCTTCTTCCTCGCCGCTTTCCCCTACGCCTATGGCCACCCGGGCAGGTAAGGCGAGCGGGCAGGGGGCGGGAGGGCAGACGGACCGGGGCGGACAGACAAGAGGGACGGGCGAGGACAGGACCAGAGCCGCTGGGGCCGGCAGGACAGGGGACCGGGGCGGGCAGGGGTCGCGGGCAGCCGGCGCTGTACCAGCAGGGAGCCCGACGTGCCGCCCGAGGCGCCGCTGCTGTTCGAGGTGACGCTGCTGGAGGTGCGGGACGGCCCCGACCCGCAGCCGCTGCTACCCGCCGTCCGTCTGTGCCTGGGCTCGCAGCGCAGGGAGCGGGGCAACTTCCACTTCGCGCGGGGTGACTTCGCCGCGGCGCTGCGATCGTACCGGCTGTCCCTACGTGCCCTGGATGGCCCCGCCGCCGGTGAGACCGGACGGGAGGGAAGGCCCAGGGCTGTGGAACTGGGGCGCTGAGGCCGCTACTCGCCCCGCAGCTCCGCCCGGGCCCGAGGAGGAAGAGGAGCTGCGGGAGCAGCGTGTGAAGTGCCTCAACAACTGCGCGGCTGCCGAGCTGAAGCTGGGGCGGACGGAAGAGGCGCTGGCGGCCTGCGAGGCGGCCCTGCGGATCAGCCCCGACAACGGCCGGGCGTTGCTCCGGCGCGGGCAGGTGGGACTCGCATCGCCCCGCACCGCCCCGCTCCCCTCGGCCCAGCCGTCCAGCTACCGTCCGCTCCTCTCCCCGCAGCTGCTGGCAGAGCAGGGCCGGGACGCAGAGGCGGCGCTCGTCCTGAGGAGAGCCCTGGAGCTGGACCCGGCCAGCAAGGTGTGGGAGGCGCGGTGTGAGGGCGGGCGGTGGCCCTACGGCACCTGGTACTTGGAGCGACGGGGAGGAAGAGGATCCCACAGGAGTCGGTGGGTCGGGTGTCCCACCGCAGCCGCACCTCGTTCGTAGGTGATCCACACAGAGCTCTCACGGCTGGCGAAGCGCCAGAGCCCTCCAGCCAGCACCGGCCCGCAGAATCCCCGCCACGACCCGACACCGCCGCCGAGCCCCGCGTGCGTAGGCGAATTGGGCTGTGCAGGGACGGATGCCCGTCCCGCACCCTCTTGGCGCGGATAGCGCTTATAGCCGTCCCTCCCTGTAGATCCCCCGGACCGCCCTCGGCGGAAGGAGCGATCTGAGCGGACCCGCAGCGCCTCAGAGCCTGATCGAGGAGATAGAAGAGTTCTCATGCCGTCCTCCCCACATCGCCCCGCACTCCCGCGTGGGGAGGGCCGAGGGAGGGGCGGGACGGCGCCGGCCCCGTCCCGCACCGCCCGCACCGCTCTCCCCGCCTGGCAGCGCTCCCGCACGCCCCGTGACGTCACGGCGGGGGGCGGTCCCCCCGCGCTCCGCATCCTGTCGCGCGGAGGCGGCTGCGGCGCGTGCGCCGAACCTTCCGGCTTTTTCGCCCCCGCCGGCAGCAGGGAGGCCATAGCCCGCGGCCAATCAGGCGGGGCCTTGCCGGAGAGACGCGCCAATGGGAGTGCAGCGGGGGGTGGATCGGCGCAATGATTGGCTGTGGCGTCCCTTAAAGCGCGGGGCGGGGCGGGGCGCGGGGGGGGGTCAGTGCGGGACGTGGCGGTGGAGTGGAGGTGGGAGGGAGCGGCGCCATGACCCGTGAGTTGGGGGGAAGGAAGGAAAGGGGGCTGGGGCTGACAGGTGTCGTGGGAGGCTGTTCTGGGACCCGGGAGTGCGGCGGGGCCGGGGTCAGGGGCCATACCGTGATGCGCCGGCGGGCGGTGGTCGGGCCGGGGTATGGGGGGTGGCCGGTACGCGGGGCCGGGCCGCGCTGAGGTGGCCGCGCTGTGGCAGGCGGAAACCAGCGCGAACTGGCGCGGCAGAAGAACCTGAAGAAGCAGAGCGACTCGGGCAAGGGCAAGCGGCGGGACGACGGGCTCTCGGCTGCCGCCCGCAAGCAGAGGTGAGCGCCGGGCCGGCCCGCCGGCTTCCCCTGCCCCGCTCCCTGCTCCCGCCCCGCGGCGCTGCCGGCCCCGCCGCCAGCCTCGCCGCGCTCCCCGCAGGGACTCGGAGATCATGCAGCAGAAGCAGAAGAAGGCCGACGAGAAGAAGGAGGGCAACAAGTAGCGGGCGGCCGCGCCGGGCTGCCGCCCCAGGGCCGGTCCCGCCGGCAGGATGCCCCTCGCCGCCCCAGGCCGGGTCCCGCCGGGACCTCTGGCATCGCCCCGCGCCCTGTGGCGCCGTCCCCTATTAAAGTAGCTGTGGAGCCCTGCACGCTGCGTCTGCTCGTCCGTGCGCCGGGCGGTGGGTGGGTGAGCACGGCTATTGCCGGCGGAGCAATCGCGGCCGCGGAGAGTCAAGCGGCGGCATCTCGACGGTGAGGAACAAAGGTGGGGTCGGGCCTGGGCGGCCCTTGGGGCAGCACCCGGGGATCAGCGGGGGCTGAGGGCCGAGCGCCCCGGGGCGGGGGGGAGAGCGGAGAGCCTGGAGCAGCGGAGCTGGGCGGCGTGGCGCCGCAGCGGGCCGGGGCGCAGCCGGGGTTCCGGGCCAGCCGGAGGGCGGCGGTGGAGAGATGGCGGCCGGGCCTGCGCACCGGGGGAGAGCCGCGCTGCGGCACGGCCGGGGCGGGCCTAGCCGCAGCTGCCCGGCCGGCGGCGGCGACGTCCGGCCCAGTGCCGAGGCCGGTGCCCATCGGCCTTTTCACCTCCTTGCAGGGCCCTAACAGTGGCATCAGCCCGATCCGACAGCACAGCGGCGGGTCCCGCGGCAGCTTGGGCTCCTCACCGGGCCAGATGCGGCGCTGCCTTCCACCACGCTGGTTGCCGTCCTTGGCGCTGGTCTCGCAGAACAGGCAGCCGTGGGCCTGGGAGTGTCAGAGGGGCCCTGGTTACCCCGGGGCCCTGAGGAGCTGCTGCTCACCATGGCCAGCTGCCTTTTCTCTGCGTGGACCCTCTCAGCCAGGCCAGGCCGCAGGTCCATCTTGTTCCCACCAGCATCAATGGCTGTGACTGCTCAACTGAAGGACAGAAGGGTGGCATGGGGCTCTCTGGGGCTGGCAGCTTATGGCCACATTGGCTGCCTCACATCATACCTGTGCTGAACCTGGGACCCAAGTGCAGTTCCAGGCCTGATAGAAGCACCAAGAAAAGAGAAAAGTTTATGGGAAGCACTCTCCTTTTTTCCTGGGGGGCTCCTTGCCTGTCAGTAGCCCAACTCCTGCCTGCCTCATTCCTGTTTCCCAGGACAGGTTGGGACAGCGCCTCCCAACCCCCTGAAAGCCTCAAGGCTCCTGCCCCTCTCCTGGGGCCTGAGTGCCTTTTGGACCCTTCCCACCTTGATGTCCTGAATCCACTGGCAGATGCTGAGGAAGCTGCTCAGGGAGCTGATGTAGAGCAGCAGCACGCCATGGGCTTTGTGGAAGTAGGACTGGGTGATGCTCCATTACCAAGTGCTGGGGCTGTCATCACCACTGATGCAGTGACTGGCTGCTGTGGGGCTGCTGCTGGAGCCCTGCCACAGCCCTAGACCTGCTGGCCCTGTGCTCTCACCTCTCCTGCCCAGCTGAGTCCCAGGTCTGTAATGTGGTTTACTCCCCATCCACCAGCAGCAGCTTGACCTGGAAGTCCACCCCTGCTAGGAGGAGCACTCAAGTCCTCCTGTGCATCTGCCCTGGCTGGGGCATCTGGGGAGCCCCAAGGACATATGGTGTCGCAGCAGTTGCCAGCGAAGGGCCCACAGGGCCATGCCAGTGGCTGTGGCAGGCTGCCCAGTGGCCTGTGCTTGCAGCAGGCATGAGCAAGGCATTGCTTCCCCAGAGGATAGCCTGCACTGCCTGCAGCACAGGGGTCTGGCAGAACCCCCCATCTGGGCCAGGCTCTGTGGGGACTTGCAGCAGTGCTGCTGACTAGGGGTGTTTCACAGAGCTGGTACTGCCTCCCTCCATCTCCATGGCAGCAGCCTGCACAGGGCAATGGCACAGGCTCAGTTCAGAGTTTTGTATAAAAATGTATTGAAGCAGGTATTTACAGTGAATGCACCACAGCAGTGGCAGCCAGGGCAGAGCCCTGCTCCCCCAGTGCACCCAGTGAGGCCAGGGCAGCCAGGCAGTGGGCTGAGCAACCTGCCACCAGCTGGCTCTGGCCTTTTGGGTATCCCTGGGAGCATCCACCCCCTGTGTTCCCCTCAGGCTCTCAGGTACTGCTGTCTCCTGGGACACGGGTCAGGGGAGGCCAGGAGGACGAAGCAGGGCTAGGGCACAGGCACGGGGCACAGCAGGGACCAGCCCTGGGCGCAGCTTGTCCTGGCAGGGACTATGTGGAGACGTCGATGCGCTGTGGAGCACGTCGACGCCGCACGATGCGTGGCCCTGTACTGCTGTGTCGGTGCTGTGGGGAGCCATGGAGGCAGAAGGGGCTCAGCAGCAGCCACAGGTAGAGCAGGACACAAGCCCAGCACGAGGACACCTTCACCCAGAAGGCTGACCAGCTGCCATGTGTGAAGGTGGTCTCCAGCACTGCATTCTCATAGCTGGTGGGAGAAGGCAGGACTGGGTACCCAAAGGTTGCCAACACAGGGGGTTTTAGTGTCCAGTGGCCATGTGCCCCGGGGCATGTCCCTTCCATGGGCCCTCCAGCCCTTGCTGTGCTGCACAGCTGCCATTTGAGCAGTGCAGGTCTGCGGGCACAGAGCCCTGAGCATCCCCAGCAGATGCCAGCTCGGCGGTATCATCAGGGTCCGGCACAGAGGTTTGGAGTGAGACCAGGGAGGGGTGGGCAGCAGCACAGAGCTCTACCTGAACCAGTTGGTGAGTGTCATCATAACATAGAGCGAGGCAAGGAAGAAGACAAAGTGGAAAGCTGAGTAGCTGTAGACCACCCGGTCCTGCTCATCCTGGATGATGAACTGTCCCCTGGCACTCTCCTCTACTTGCTCACATGTCTGGTCGGTGCCTGGGGGAGTGTGGGGGCATGGCACTCCCAGACTGGGACACAGGCTCTGCCCACTGTCCCATCCCTGCACACAGACACTGCACTCACCTCTCAGCTCCTCCTCCATCTTCTCAGGGCAGCAGAAACAACAGGAAGGTTTCTGCGGGGAGAGCAGAGTGGTGACTGCCCAGCCCTGTGGCCACCGTGGCCAGGCTGAGCCCTGCCAGATGCCAGGGCAGGTGGTGTGGACAGCTGTCTGTGCTTGGCTAGACAGACCTGCCCCTCTCTGGGGCTGGGACAGGGCCTTGAGGTGGTGGGTGCCCATAGCAGGAGGACATGGAGCACAGCTGCATCCATACTCACTTTAAACTCAAAGCTGTAGACTTTGACCATCCAGAGGGGCCCAAAGACCTCAGCAAGGTATGAGGCTTCATTGCTGTGCCCAGGAGAGAGACAGAAATGATTACACAGGCACCCATCACCCTGTGCTAGGCTCCCAGCCTGCCCCATGGATTCCCAACAGCCACAGGAGCTCTGCTGTGCTGCCCCTGTCCACCCACCAATGCCCCACCTGCTCTTGTCCTGCCACCCCTCAGAACACCTCAGGCTGTGCCTGGGCAGGGTACACGCACCATGCAAAGAGCACGCAGGCGTACATGATAGCAGCGCCCAGCACGGCCACGGTGGTGTCCTCTGTCTGCAGCTCATCCTGCCGGACCCCCGGGAAGCAGACAGTGAGGTTCTGCCCCTGGTACAGCACTGCGGGGAGGTGGAGGTGAGAAGGGCATGCATTGTGGCGCGGGCTGCTGGTGGTGGACAGGGACACCCACCTCTCTCTGGAGGGCGGCTGGACAGCGCGGAGAAGGTGAGGTACATCACATAGCAGCTGATTATTGAGGACTGCAGCAGCCCTGACCGTGGCTGCTCTGCAAGAGTGGGGATAGAGGTGTTACTGGAGTCCCTGGAGTAACATGAGCTGGTGGCGGGGGCTCTGAGTGGGCCTGGGCAGTCCCCTCCTGCCACTCGCCCGTCCAATGCCTTGTGCCGAGGTATAGGAAGGGCCAGTGTTCTCCTCCAGTGCCCAAGTGCTGGCCCCGAGCTGGGGCCCACAGTCACCCGCAGCCCAGGACACAGCTGGCCATGCAGCACAGCAGCCCCCACCATGCTGTGCTGTGTGGTACTCACTGAGCCGCACGCACGGCGTGATGGAGATGAAGGACATGATGCCACAGAGGCTGCCATTGATGGCAAGCAGTGCTTTGTTGAGGTGGCAGGCAGCTGGGTGGGTGTAGAACTTGTAGAGGAAGGAGAAGGCGGCAGAGGCAAGGGTGTAGAAGGCAGCCGTGGCCAGCAGCACGGCCAGATACCAGCGCTTGTCCTGTGCAGCCCCTGTCAGCCTGTGGAAGAGTGGATGAGCAGTGGCAGTGGGCACGTACCCACCCAGCACCCTGGCACTCACCAGTTCTTGTTCCAGGTGTGTGCAAAGGCTGTGATCAGCACCAGCTGGATGAGGATGAAGGCGAAGCCCCCACAGACACCCGTGTAGTGCCAGGCTGGGGGAAGAGGACAGAGGTAGAGATGGCACAGGGCAAGGGGGGGCCAAAAGGGGTGCCCAGGGTGCCAGCTCATATAGGGTGGGGGACACACCTTGGATGAAGTTGTCCTCAGGGATGAAGAAGCTTGCGGCCCAGAGGCCCACCAGCACCAGCAGCTTCAGGAGCCAGAACCTGCAGGGCAGTTAACATCAGCAGGACAGAGCCTCTGACAGCCCCACCCCAGGGCAGCCCCATCCCAGGACACCCTGTCCCAGCCCCATGGCCCATCCTTACCCATTGTGGAGCTGCGCACGGCAGTCAGAGCTGGAGCGCACGTTGAGCAGCAGGGCAGCCTGTGCCAGGTGGAAGCAGGCAGTGCCAAAACAGACCCGGTACACTGCCGAGGAGCCCACCAGCTGCTCACAGTCTGTGCCCCCAGGCAGGTGTTGGCACAGCACCACTGAGAAGGGCACCTGGCAGGCACAGTGGTTGATGGGACAGGGCTGCTGGTGTGTCCACCCATCACCCCCCAGTGCCCATGGCATCCAGCACATCCAAACTTTCGATATTCCCACCATTCCCAATACCTTTCTCAGTACCCTGGGACTGCTGGGACCCCCAGTATGCCAGGCAAATCCTCATCTCTGGTACCCCAGCACCCCTTCCCCCTTGGCACCTCCAGCACCCTTGGCACTCCCAGCAGCCCGGTCACTCTCCCACCATCCCAGTATCCTCAGAATCCCAGTACTCCTGATGCCCATGGCAATTCTGGCATGCCCAGTGCTCCCCTGGATGCTTTGATGTGCCAGCACCCCAGTACCCTCAGAACTCATGGTACCCTTGAGAGCCCCAGCACCCCTGGCACTCCCAATACTCCCAGTACCCTGGGTGTCCCAGTTCCCTCTATCACCTTTTCTGTGATAGCCTGAGCCACAGTGCGGGACAGCATGAGGCAGCACACAGCAGAGGCCAGGACATGCAGGAGCGTGTAGAGGATACGCGTGCTCGTGGACACGCGGAGCCCGTGACAACCGCAGCAGAGCTGGGGAGGGGCACGGTCAGTGGGGATCCCAGGGGACCAGCACTGCTCCCCAGCCTGGCCCAGCACACCCTACCCACCCAGACTCGCTCCCAGCCGTGCTCCCAACCCTGCCAGACCCCAAGTCCCACCTGGAAAAGTAGCGGGTGCAGGAGGTGCCCCCGTCCCGCTGTGCCCGCCATGGCCCAGCTTGTCTCTGCTCAGCCCCCGCGGCGTTGATGGGATTAGGGGATTGTCAACTCGGCCCGCCCTGCCATCTGCTCGCTGTTCCCTCCAGGCAGCCGCCCCTGGGGTGCTCAGTGGGCACTGTCCAGTGACTCCTGGGTGTGGGCATCCCTGCCCAGATCCCGGTCCCTCCTCGGGCAGGGTGAGGCCCTAGCAGGCGGCCTGGACATGAACCTGGATGAGGGGCACGATGTCCCCCTGATCCCAGAGCTGTGTGGAGGGGCTGCGCGATGTGGAGTTTACTGGAGGGTGGAGCAGCCCCGGGCACAGAGGCACCCAAGGGACGGCATGGAGCACATCCAGCGGGCAGCGGCACGCCGCAGGCTGGGCACGAGCTGGGGACAAGCAAGGGGACCCAGGGGCCTCTAGGGTGGTGCTGGCGTCACCTTTCTGCAGCTGCCCCACAGCCATTCAGGCTTTGTGCTGGCGGAGCCATGAGACACGGCGGGGGCCGGGCCCGGGGCCGCGGCTGCACTGACACGGATCCCCCGCGTCCCGGTACCACCCCTGGCGGGGCACCGGCAAGCACGGCGGCGGCTCGGCCGCCTCCGGCAGCGCCCGGGGACCTGGCCAGGGCCCCGCTGCGGCCTGCCTCGTCCGACAATCCGTGTGGCGGCAGTGGGAGCCATGTCGGGGTCCTGACCCGGCAATCCCGGGTACCGCCATGGGCGGGCAGCGGCGAGGCTGCGCTCGCCCGGCCTGGCTCCGCGCCTCGGCAGCGCCGGAGGCCCGCTGCTATCGAGCGGCCCGAAAGCCCGGGAGTGCCGGCACTGCTGGCTCCGACCTGCCCGGAGCACCGGGGAGCGCGGGTCGTGCCCGCTCGGCGGGGCCGCTCCCGCCGCCGGCCGGTCCCGCCCCCGGTTCTGGCGGCGCACGTGACCGGAAGCGGGCCGCGGCGGCGGCGGCATGGCGGCGGAGGGCGATGTGGAGCTGGAGCTGGAGACGGAGCCCAACGGCTCCGGCGGCGGCAGCGATGGGGCGGGCGGTCGCGCGGCCGAGAAGCCGCGGAAGCACGATAGCGGCGCGGCGGACCTGGAGCGCGTCACGGACTACGCGGAGGAGAAGGAGATCCAGAGCTCCAACCTGGAGACGGTGCGGCGGCGGGACGGGACCGGGCCAGGGTGGGAGGCCGGGCGCTGCGTGCAGCGGGGCCGAGCCGGGCGCTGAGCACCGCGCCTGCACGCCCGTCCCGGTGCCGGTGCCCCTGCCGCCGGCGTGGCGCTGACCCCCCTGGTGCCGCGCAGCGGGGTGACCGCGCTCCTTCTGGCAGGCTATGTCGGTGATCGGAGACCGGAGGTCCCGGGAGCAGAAAGCCAAGCAGGAGAGGTAACCGGCCGCGCTCGCTCCGGGGCAGTCTTGCAGCTTGTCGCCACTCGGGACACGACCCAGGCATCTGCTTCCCTGTCTGACATCCCGGCCCTTCCCCAGCCCCACGCTGCTGCGAGGGGTCGCTCCGGTCCCCCTCGCGGCCGAAGGAGCACCGGGGCAGTGGCCGCTGGGGACTGTTGGTCACCGGAGGTCTGTCCATCTCTTGTCGTAGGGAGAAAGAACTGGCAAAAGTCACCATCAAGAAGGAGGATCTAGAGCTGATTGTGAGTAGGGGCGAGACCCCAAGCAGGCTGTGACATGTCCCAAATCGTGGGTGTGAAACTGCACCCACGGAGGAGGCCGGTGCATGCCTGCCCTGAGGCCTGTCCAGGGTCCCCATGGGTGGGTGTCCCCCACTGTCCCAGCCCGCAGGGCCCTGCGGGTGCTGTACAGGGCTGTGGCTGTATTTCTGCAGATGACGGAGATGGAAATATCACGGGCCGCAGCGGAGCGCAGCCTGCGCGAGCACATGGGCAACGTGGTGGAGGCTCTCATCACCCTCACCAACTGAGCTGGGAGGCCATGGGCTGCCGGGCACGGGTTTCTTGCCATACCAATAAAGGCACTGGTGGGACTGGGCTGTCTTTGTGGTCTACACGGTGCTGAGCACATGCCCCTGGCCCTGAGTGCATGGTACCCACAAGTGGGGTCCAGTCATGTGGCATTGTGTTGGCAGTGCCAGCTGGGCACTGTGACTACAGCAGGACAAAGTGACCTGCCTGAGCAGTGAGACATGTTGTTCTCCCCTCTTTTAATCTCTGCCCCTGGGGCAGCACAGGCTGGACATGCACAGGTCTGAGGCAGTGGTGACAGATGATCATGCATGTCCTGCCCAAGCTGGTGCCTTCTGTGCTGCCCCAGCTCACCCTGGCTCATAAGGAAGGCACAGAACAGGATGGCCTGTCGTGAAGAAGAATGGGGCCAGAGTGTGTAAGAAAATCTAATCTTTAATCAAACCCTCCCACCCCACGCAGGTAGAAAAGCCAAGCCCTGCAGAACCATGGTAAGGAGAGAGGGTCACCACTGACCACCTCAAAACAGGGCGCAGACTGACATCAGGGGTAAACCAGAGAGGTGCAGAAGTCCAAGTAATTCTTCCAAAGTGGATGTGCTGGAGCCAGGGGCGGTGCTGCAATGTTCCAGACACTGCCAAGGCTCCACAGTGGCCGTTGCTGGGACATAGTGTGGCCACCAGCCTGGCCAGCACCACAGGCCATCATCCTCCACATTGCATGGGCAAGGAACCCATTGGGTCTGCTCAGCACAGGGAGTGGAACACCTCATCAGGGTAGGCATGGTACAGGCAGGGGAAGGGCTTGCCACCACAGGAGTCCTGGAACATGTCCCTTCTGGCCCTGCCCAGGCTCTGGCAGCTGGCACAATGGCATCCTCCTGCCAGCATCAGCCACACCAGACCCTCCAGCCCATGCTCTTAGGTAGTTTTTCGTTTCTTGGCCGAGGGTCTCTCAAAGACATCCCGCACCCCCGCTGCCTTCTGCTTAAAGAACTTGGTGTTCTGCGCACTCTCCTGGCCCCAGGCAGAGTCAAAGGAGGTGGTGTCCTGGTCCACCAAGTGCGTGTACTTCGTCCGCCCCGAGCGCCCGAAGTTCTTGACCTGGGGAGCAGAAGAACTTGTGAGCAGCTGTTCAGAGGGGGAGCAGGACCAGGTCCTCCCCCCTGCCCAGAACTTCCACCCCTTGGCATATGGGCAGGGCACTGTCTGCCAGCATGACACCCACCTGCATGACTTTGGGCAGGATGGTCTTGTTGAAGTGGTCCTCAAGGGTCGGAGCACTGAAGTCCCTCTTGTACACCTCCTCATCCTCATCCTGCAGGAGGACACACTTGCTCAGCCTAAAAGGTTCCAGCAAGTCTTGGCAGCAGTGGGGGAAGCTGCCTGAAGGTCATATTGCTGCTCTGCCAGGGCCGCCACAGTACTTGCAGCGCTATTAACTCCTGCTGGAGTGGGGGATGTGAGCACTGTTCCCCGGGGTGCTTCTCCAGTGGCCCATCCAGAGCTGACTTGGTTCTGGCTGGGTCTGTCAGCCCGAACACCAACACAGGGACAGCTCTGCAGCTTCAGCTGCATTTCAGCTGGGAACCCCTAACCTGACACGCTGCGGTGAGGTCACTCTGGGTCAGCTTCACCCCATGCTGCCTCTGAAGGTTGGCTCTTGTCCCAGGCACCCCCAGCCCCAGGGCACCGTGGGAGAGGAGAGGCTCCCCACAGGGAAAAGGTGGCCCCGTGGTCTCACACCTGCCTGTGTGCAGCCAGGCCTGGCCCTAAGCACACTCACCATGAAGAAGGCGCCGCGGTGGTAGTACTTCTGCAGGAATTTGTATTTGCCCTTTACTGCCTTGTTGGTGATGACTTTACCATTGGCCCGGAGCTCAGCACGGCGCTCCTCCTCTGTCAGGTTCCGCATACGCTCGATCTCTGCCTTCTCCTTCTCCATGCTGGGTGGGAGAGAAGCTCCTGAGACTCTGGGTCCCCACAGCATCTCCCGGGAGAGAGGCTGTCACCAGCTACCACCTGAGAGCTTACACATTTACTGCTAGGGAGCAAAGGCACCCCAAGGGCGGGCAGGAGGGGCTCTGGGCATTCAGTCCAGCTGGGACCCTGCTGCCAAAGGGCAGCCTGAGGAAAAGGTGGGCTCTCAGCCTCGATTCTGAGAGACAATACTTACGCTTCTCGTTCTTCGCGGTCTCGTTTGATACGCTTCAGCTCACGGACTTTCCAGGCCTCATACTCCTCCTCATCGTTCTCATCATCTGTATCGAGTGCATCCAGTGCTGCCAGTGAGCGCTTGTTCTCCTCCAGCTCCTTCTTTGCTTCCTCTTCTACAATCTGCAGTGAGGTCCAAGCTAAGCTTGCTGCAGTGGCTGCCCCCTCCAGCGTCCAGCCCACCCCTCTGTACCTTAAGCGTGTACTTGCGCCTCTCCTCTGCCATCCTCTTTGCCTCCTGCTCCAGCTCCTTCTGCTTCAGAGCTTCTGCTTCTCTCTCCTGGACTGTGATCCGGTCCTTCCTGAAAGCAGGGCCATGACAGCCTTCAGCCCTCCCACGAGCCAGTGCAGTCGCTCAGCCTCTCACTGGTTCCCACACTGCAGCTGCTTTCAGCCTTTGCCCTCTCCAGGGATAGGTCAAGTCCCAGGGCTCTCCCCTTTCTGGGTACTACCACGTTCTTTTGCCACTGTATGGCCCTTGCCCAAGAGCTCTGGTCAGACTCCACAGCCTGATGCCACAGCAACCCAATGCAACTGATACAGGGCTGTGGGTACGGGGATTGCTCCTTGCTCCCTAGCTGTGCCCTGCCAGGCTGTGACCATCCCATCCCACCCCAAGGAGGTCAATGGCTTCTCACAGTGAGAAGAGACCATGGCAGCAAGGTCTCCTAGGGCCCCAGCTTCTGACTACCACGATCCAGGGCCAGCCCACACACTTCCATCACCTACTTGCGAATAAAGACCGGTTTGAGACGTGGCTCCATTTCATCTTCGCTGTCCGTGTACTCCTCATACTCAGATTCTGACTCAGACTCTTCTCCAGACCGACCCTCATCTTCCAATTCCATCACTTCCATCTCCTCAGTTTTTCTCTCCTGTGCTCGCTGACGCATCATCCCACGCCGACGCTCGATCTCCTAATGGGGACAAGCACAGAGCAGTCA